AAAGAGCCTGCTTTGGCAGGGGCTGCGACTGCCCTTGCTTGTAGGGACCTTCCAGCCCCACTTTTGTCACCTTCCACTGAGGAACAAGGACGTGGTTTGAGCCTGCTTGTGCTGCAGGAGCTCTGACCGCTGACGCTGCCCTCTCCTGCCAGGGCGTGCCCCCATTTTGGGGAGAGGAGAGGAGCCTGTTCAATGAGCCACAAAATGGCGGCAGCTGCCGTCCTGTGCGAATGTGTCAGGTTGGACCTGTGTGAAACCCAGCTGCACCAAACTTTAATGTTCTTCGTGGAGATGGTGACAGTGAAAGCCCTGGCCAGATGTCTGGCATTTGTTGCTGGGAAGATCTTCTGATACACACCATGGTGCACAGGCCGCTCCACGGCTCCAGGGAAAGAAAACATTTAACCACGGCAGCCCTCACGTGTTTCTCTCAGCTGCTGCTGAGTGAAAGGTAGAGCTGGTGCTCAAAGCTCTCTCCGAGCATTTTGTGTTGGATTCTCCGGGATGAAACAGAAGTGGTTTGGGGAGCAGTGTCTCCCTTCCCAGACAGCTTCACTGACCGGGCGGTGGCACTTGGGCTGCCTCTGCCTGCGCTTGTTCGGGCGCTGGCTCTTGCATGGTGGCTCTTGCATGCTTGGCTGCATGGTGGCCCAGCTGTGGTAGGAAAGTTGGACAGAAACTGCTGCCTGGTAAGAGGGGAAACCACTGCGATGCTGTGCAGGAACCCAGTCGCTCAGACCACGGATGTCCTTTGAGTCAGACCGGTACCGAAACCTCACCCTGCTCCAGCGAGGGAGGACGAGGTAGATGGTCCTCCTCTCTGCACGCCTCCGGGTCACAGCGGAGCGCACAGGTGGCTGGTCTCTGGCTCCCCCACCACAAACCTCTGCTCAAGTGCTTGGGCAACAACCTGCTTCCTAGCAGCAGCATCCTGCAATTTGATTTACCTTGCATTTCTGGAAGATGTCATCGTGTTTGAGAAGTTGCTTGAATCCCACCTAGAGACTTCCAGTCTCCCCGAGAGTTTCAAGTTTGAGCTAACAGAGAGAAAGGGTGCAGGAGTATTTTTGTCTTAAGGTTCATGGGTGACCAGGAGTCACTTGAGTAGAACAGCGCTTCAGACAGCTAAAAAAAACGTATTTGCTATCTCAACAAGGAAAGAATGGTAGGTGGCGGGACAGAGCTGGATGAAAAAAGGTGAACAACTCAGGCTTGTGTCTCCTGCTGTGGTGATGACAATTGAGTAAACTGCCAAGATCATGGATCTGTGGTTTTGTTGTGGTGGTTGTATGCTGGATTTTGTTTGTTGTGCCAGGCCCCCTAGCAATTACATTAGCCATACGTTCTGGCACACGTTAACAATTTCCATTCTACTAATGCAAAGTGCAGAGGAGGGTAAGGAGCATTTAGATAACATGCTTCATCTTTGCTTAGCACTACCTCAAACGCAAACAAGTTCAACAAAATGATCCCTAACTCTCTTTGGAAAGCTCTTCTTGTTCATAAAAGAGATCGATGCTCAAAAAAGCATCAACAAAACCCTTTGTAAGAGGACTGCAGCAGCCAGACGGCATCAGCTAGCTGGGAAGGAGAGCAAGCAGAACCACTGACATGAAACCCATGGACCTCCACGTGGAGGCACCGAGTGAACGACCCTACTCCAATACGTGAGTGTTTTTTCCAAGCAAGGCTCATCTCCTGTTGCAACCGCAGCTCTGTCCACCTGCTCCTACCTGGCTCTTCAGCTACCTGCTGCAGCGGGAGAGCATTTTCCCGTAGTAGAAGAGAGTAAACTCTTCTACTGGGGCTAAGCCTGTGTAGAATACGTACATTAGATATTTCTTTCCTGGATTTCAAAGGTTTGAGTTTCACTGAACTTGACTTTCCATCAGAAAAAGCATTAGCTCTGCTTTAATGAACGTTGTTAGGCTGCTCAGTCAGTATCACGGTTAAATCTATAAATCTTGGCCAGCAATTAGAATGGTAAACTGCAGTCAGCAGAGAAGTGAGACCACAGGGACTGTAAATGCAATAGTGGTTTGGCTTCCAGTGCCCTTAAAATGCTAAGGCTGGTATTGCTGTCACTCAGTTTACAAATTTGGTTGATTTTTATTTTATTTTTTTTGACCTGCTTGCTATCATGGCAAATTGTTCTCATTTTGTTTTCCCCAGTCTTTCTATTGTCTACATAAAAGAAACCTACAAAACAGCACCTGCTCTTCATGGCAGTACAGGATGTATTTTGTTCCCAGGCTGGAAAAAAATAATAAAAAAATGAGAGGGAGAAAGTATCTTCTCATTTTTGAAAAGGTACATATCCAATCCAGGACTAGAAAAGGGTTGACTTTAGTGACCTTAGCTGCAAATCCTACTATTGCTCAGAATACATAAAGACTTGATGCTGAGAGAAAGAAAAAAAAAAAAAAAAAAAAAAAGAGTTCAATGCTGCTTCACCATATTATGTACCATTCACACAAAAAAGTGTGGATGTAGATTGCTTTCCAACCACCTGACACCCCACTGATGCTTACAAGTCACAGGCATTTTTTTTTTTACCTGAAGACAATACAACACAATTCAGCCCATTACATAAGGTGATGTGCCTATTCCTTAAAAGAAAAAACATGTAAGTATATATATAACAATATATTTATATTAGAAGCCTTGCTCTTTACCTGCTGGGCAGACCTTCATTGCCCAGATCACTTCAGAGAACAGTGGTGTGAGCTGAGAAATGCTGAAGGATTGTAAAATACTCCTTTTTGAATAACTTCCTCGGCAGTTCGCTGATAACTTAAACCTTTTTCATGTCATTGCTATACAGAGAAACTTTGCCACTGCACTGATAACCTTTCCACCACCAGGGAGGAATATGCTGTCCTGCAGGAAATTGTCTCTCTTCAAGTAACAGGAAAAGTATCACCTCAACCTCTCTATCACTTCTTCCTCAAAGAGTTGCTACCTTCCCATCCAGCTTGCCCATTTAAACGCTAAATGTTATTCATGGCAGTCTGAGCACCAAACATCCACTTGGAGAAAGAGGCTTTCCAAGAAAAAAAAAAAAAAAAAAAGATGCTGGAAGGGCTGGAAGGAAAGTAGGACTCCTAGAAGAAATATACTTTTTTATTTTTCCTATTTGCATAGGTCCTAAACTCACTCTTGTTACTGCGGTGGCAAGGTGGGGAATAAATGTACTTTTTCTCTTTTGTTGAGTTGGCCATGCTCTGGAATACCTTCATGATAAGTTACTCCTAAGTACCTTCAGAAAAGTTAATGCTGTGTTCCCCCTATAATGAAATTTTAATTGGGTGGAAGAATGATAGCTAAATTATCAAACTGAAGCTATTTACACTATATTTTATCTATAAAGAAACAACTCGATTAATTATGTTTTAAAAACATTTTTCTTATGTTAAATTAGTATTTCTAATCTGGGTCATTACTCAGATGAGTTTTTACCTGGGCAGACCTGCCACGTTGCACAGGCTTAAATCCATCAGCAAACAAAAACCTGCAGCTGACGCTTAGTTCCCAAATAATCTATTTTCCAACAATGCTGTCTTGAAATTGCTATTGTAATTTTTGCCAACCCCTCATCATCTTGTATGAATTTAGAGTTGAAAAATGCAAGCAGACCCCACAGCAAGGAAGGTCTCTGAGGAGACCCTGAGGCTGTGGAAGAAGGGAAGAACATCAAGCAAGGGAGAAGAGAAAAAAGCAGGGCCAAATCCTGACATGTTTTTTCCTCAGCTTCCTGCATAGCCAAGGCACAGGAATTCAAAGCACTTTCTGCACTAGAAAGATGGATTATCCTTGTTTGACTGCATGCCCCAGGATGCTGAATGTAATGCCTCCGGATATTATGTTTGTTTTTCTAAATTATCTTTCATGGGCTCCAGGCCCAAATCCATAGCCCAAGAAAACTCACTTCAGCCCAAGCAACAAGTCAAACTGTTCCAGCCAGCAATGCACTCTATTTATAAGATAACGCCACTCCTCTGCTCTGTCCAGCACAGCATGGGAGACCCTATATGACTTTCCTGTATCGACAGAAGAGGCATAACGACTCTAGTTAGCTGTCTAACATATTTTGTATTGGGCTGGTAGTTATAGTATACACATTGCTGATTTTATACACAAGGGAAAGCAAGAGGTGGTTCATGTTACTCACTGAAGAGACAATGAGAAGTAAGGTACATTATTGAACTAGGTGTGGCACGATAACCTTTTTTATTTTTTTCATGATACTGCATGTTATAGAGATGTGTTCAGCAAACAAGAAGAGATGAACATTTATTTCCTCTCCCCAGTAAGACTTCACATTTGCTGCTGCCGAATTCCCGTATTGTCTGTAACTTCCCTGTTGCTCTAATCTCCCTGGGGTCATTTGCAGTTTGAGTCTGTCCTCCTCTGTTGGCTCCCGTTCTGATTTCGGTGTCATCAACAAATTTGACCGCTGTTGAATTTGCACCAAAGAAATCCCTGACAAAGAAGAGACTTGCTCAGAGGCTTCGACCCCGGTGCAGCCGTCCCGGGCCCAGGGGGAGGCTGTGTTTGAAGTCTGACACGCGCACTGTCGAAACCGCGCCGCAGACTTTTGTTTCGTTACACATTCATCCATCTGCCACAAAGCCCAGCCCGTGGACCACCATGAAGCGCTCTCTGAACCACCAGGAGGGTGGTCTGAGACGCACTGTGGTGCTGTGTTAAAAGTTTAGGTTAAAACCGTGATGCTTTTTGCATAAAACTCATACTAGGGGACTTTCTTCTGGCTTCTATTCATAGCAGGGTACACCGGCTGTTTTCTCTTTCCTGGAAAAAAAACTATTTAAATGAATGCTCAGGGGAGTAGTGCATATTTATTTAAAACTAAGCTGCAAAAATAGAACGGAACGTTTTTGTCCTTTCTTTATGTTCCTCTTAAAAAGGGTAAGAGCGTACAGTCTGCTGAGGTGTTGGTCTCGTTGTGTTTTTATTAAAGGAGGAATCGTGGCCCGAGCAACTCTGTGAGATGCTGGGAGCTGTGGAGACCCCCTCAGCCTGCATCCTGGCTTCAGAACAGGGTGGCTGTACATTTGGGTTTCTTCCCTTGTCAGAACCCACAAAATTCCCCCCAATGTTTTGTGGAAGCAGTGTTTTGTGGAAATGATGCTTTGTGGGAGACTCTGGACAGCTTTTCCACGCTTTAAAGTACCATAATCCACCTAACACGAAGCGTGGGTTTTCAGCGCTTCTTTTGCATCTGGTAGGGCTCAGAGCAAGACGCCTATCTGTCGAATTAAGAACGTTTAAGACCATTTTTATTGATGCACATCGTTTCCTAACGCGCGACGGCGGGCTGCCTCCCCTCAGCCGCACAAGATGTCCGCCGGCCCCAACGGCCGCCACCTGCCGCGAGGGCGGCGCCGCCGCCGCTGAGGGGGAGCCCCGCGGCCCGCCCCGCTGCGGGATCGGCCCCTCACCGGGCTGAGGTCGGCACCGGCACCGGCACCGCCAAGGGGAGCGGGGAGCTCCGCCGACACCGCCGGGTGAGGGGGGACAGAGCCGCCTGGCACGGGAGAGGGTGGCCGGGAGGGAAGGGGGGGAGCGGGGCACCTGCTGCAGCGCCCCGCCGGCTCCCCGAGGATCCGCCCTGGGGCCAGGCTTCGTTATATTCCCCATAGGTTCTAAAGGAGGGAATGTCGAGGAGAAAAACGTGATTTCTGCTAGCTGTCTGTCGTGGTGTGTATGTTTTCTATTCCTTATGGTATTCCTTGGGTGTCCTTCAGCGTAATTTTGTGATCTTGACTGTGTTTTCTAGGCAGTTTTCATAAATCTAACTTCCCCCAGGCACCTGTACGGCATATGTTACAGTAACCTGCACTGTAAGTTCCATAGCAAAAGCTAGAAGTAACTTGCACAATTTGTGTTTGCTTGCAAGCTGAACGCTCTGCTAGGGAGCAGGAGATACAACAGCCTCTGCTGGAGGTGAATAAAAGAGGATGCAGAGGGCTCGCGACGTAGGTGGTGTTTGGAAGGTCGCAGTAAGCCTGTACGGTCTGTGAATGCGTGGGTAAGAGGCACAGATCTGATCAGTCCGGGTTCTGATGTGAAGAACTTTCATAGATACAAAAGGACAGAAAATGCTCTCCTCGTCTGAAGGTAATTGTCTTAGTTTGGTGGGCAAGGGGAGAAGAGTCACGAGTATCTTCCTGCATTGGCAAGGTGCGGCAGGTGCCACTGGTGTGAAGGGTGATGTCGGGTGTGTTCCTGCTCTAGCGATGTGACTGTGGCACATAGTTGTTGTCCAGGTACAATGCTGTGCACGCTTCTGATCTGAAAGAAAAATCCCTTGGTTCTGTATATGCATTACTCACTGTATCGAAGCAGACTTTTCTGAGGCCATCAATCTGATGTGTCGGACGTGTTTAATACACTGAATTAGTCAATGTTAGTCTTTTTTTAGTTTCTATAAATGTAGTGAGACCTAATTTAGGTCTGGATGTAACTGCAATGTGTGTGGACAGCCTGTATATTATCTTGTGAAGCAACAAAGCAATTGGAAGGAAACTTATAAGTACACACAGCCAGCAAAGCTGGCTGCTGCATTTTTTTTTTGCCTTTTTTTTTGCCCTCTTTTTCAGATTAGAGAGCAGGGAAGAGTCTTTGAAGAAGCTTCCTGTCGGAATGCCTCACATCAATGCAGCTGCAGCTCTGCAGTTCTGCATGCTGCTGTCCGCGCTTCCTGCACAGTATTTCCTATCCCAGTGGTATGGAACAGACTCCGCTCAGCGCATCCAGATAACAGAAAGGTTGTAAGTCTGTCCTTCCCTACTGTATTCATCTGTAAGAGTTCTCGTTCTCATCCCCAATGCACTTTGTCCTTGCGAGTGGGAATGTGTTGCCCATTCCTGCATGAAAACAACATTCAAATCATACCTCAGACATTTTTGTGGCTTAACGTGACTGTATTTAGTAGTTTAAAGAGGTCCTTCAGCATTTGAATAACAACCATTGTTTTCTTCCCGTAAAAATCTGTGTATAATCTGCGAGACTGCATGGCTGTGTCTTAACCTCTTCTGCTTTTGGATGTTCCAATATATGTGACTATTGATTAAAACCCTTTAAAATGGGAGAAATTAAATGTTTTATTAGTAAGACTATTTCAAACTTTCCATTACCTTTTGACACTTATTCTTATATTGTATATGAATTAGGAAGTTATGTACTGACAGGGTCCCTTGTGTCTGTTCTAAATGTAAAGTGAAGAACAGCGCATCAGGTCCAAGGATTTAATAGTGGTAACCACTGGCAAATGTTAGCATCTTGAAGATGTACCATGCAAAGAGAGTTGTGTATGACTTAGAGTTTTAATATGGTCTGTGTAGTGCCTTCGTTGTGTGGTTCATCTGTAGAACTCAAATCCATGAAGTAATGAGAGCAAAAGATTAAGCTGGATTAAAAAGGAACAAAGTTTGTCTTTGTGGGCGAGGACCCAGATTTAAAACACTTTCAGGGTTTCATGGCATGAGTCAACTACTAACCATTTAGATTTATGCAGAATTTGCTTTGCTGTTTTTGAATAGTCCTTTGATTATGTGCACAACTTTTGAAATGTTTTGTGCTCAGTATCCTCAAGTAACAGTTGAAACAGCAGAATCTGATGCAATTTGGCAACTCCTGTGGTCTGACTACAGGAAAAAAAAGCAACTTTGTCATGACAAATGGCATTTTCCAAAATTCACGTATGGTTTACTGGTACAAGCGATGATTGAAAGGACATTCATTTGCAGTGTAAGTAGTAATCTTTAGGGAGAACTTGTTCCTGGCCACTGACTTCTTTTTCCTGTTTGCTACAGAAGTGAAACCTTAAAGTTTAAATATTAAAAAAGGAAAATAAGTATATATTAAAAAAACACGATAGAAAGTTTTCAAACAACATGGTGATTGTTTTTACTACTGAAGGCTAATTGCCTGTGGGAGCAGCTTTACCAAGTCCTACCTGAGTGTGGATGCGTGGGCAGATCGTTTAAAGCTGTGGCTGTTGAAGACAAGGTAGGATGTTGCATTCTGTCTGCATTTAAACCTATCTTTCAAACACGGTCTATTTTTAAACAGGAAGGCATGCTGCACGGGTGAAATAAGTAACGAAGGGGAAATGCTTCTCATTTTCCTATTGAGACTGATTTAGGAACTTTCTACCAGTTTAAGAAAAGCTTTTGTTTGTAGTCTACACAAACATGCAATTGGAGCTCCATGTGAAACTAAACATAAATCCTGGCAGTAATTCTGTATGTGTTATCCTCTACTTTAAATTCATCTGCTTGTGCAATCTGATTGTCTGTAGGATTAACCACGTTAATGATTATAAGCTGTGATACGTTTACAGGATCAGATCCTACAACACGGGATGGATATCTTATGCTGTATACGGTGGTTGTAGAAAATGTAGATGGGAAATCTGTGGGTTTAGGATGGAGGGAAAATGTGATTATTGGATAAATGACAGTGGGTTGGTCTAGAAGAAGTAAGGTTGTATCCATTTGCATATGTACCCGGTTAGTTTTAAGATGACTTGTTCAGGGAGGTTAAAGGGGCTTGTTTGTGAGATTTAATTCTTGTGCAGTAGAAATACTCCAAAGGTTTTACCTTGTCTGGACCTTCAAAGGTCCTTTATTATTGATTCATATTCAATGACCAGGGGTGTCAAGGAGTACCTCTGAACTGTGGAAATTTCAGAATTACTTTTGCCCCCAGGAAAGCCTAGGGGATGTACAAAAGGCAACAGAAACTGTGCTTTTCTCAGGTTCACCACAAATTGCTTTGCAACTTTGCAGGAAGCTTCAGGCACGTGTAGAGATAAAACCTCTAAACACCAAAAGATCCTTTGATTATTTGTACATTGTTGGAGCAGCTTACATCTTCTGAATATCTTATATTACTATAAAGAATTGGTTATCCTAAAACAACAACAAAACCACCAAAAAAAACCCACAACATTGAGTTCCCCACCTGTGAAATTCAGATGAAATTCAGCCTACTGCAGAGGAAGATACTTTTACTGTAGCCTTAAGCTGGGACTCATGGCCAGGCACCTTGTCCATACTACAGTTAACCAATCTTTAAAGATTTCAAAGTAGAATTTACAGAAGAGACTGAAGAATCTCTCTCAGAAGTCAGAATAGTATCAAGCTCACCTATATAAAGTAAATGGCTTTTCCTTGACATAAAATTATAATGCAGCTGTGGAGCTACATATCCAAAGAAGCTATATATATACTCTTTTCTCCTGTTGGAACAAGCTTCTTTGTCTTGTATGTTCCCTAGAAGTGGTGTTAATGTAAAACTCTCATTCTGTTTGGGCTTCTAGTTGTGAAGAATTTTGAATCAAAGGCTTTGCACTATTCCTCTATTCAGACAAAGGCTTAAAGTAATAACCTGAAGGCTGATTATCCTAAAACTCACTTGCAAAAGAATGTGTTTGAATGCTGGGTTATTAATTTTACATTTTAGGAACTGGTACTTCGGAGAAAAGAAAATTAAAAGTGCCAACACTGAAGCAGAAAACCATTCTTATTTTGCAGGTATCAAAGTCTTTGCAATCGTTTTTGTATTTTGCTGGTGGTATTGCATTCTAAGGCCTTCCTGTAGGGTATTTCTACACTTGTCTTGCAAATGTTAGTCATTTTCCTCCTGTCTGATCATATTCAGTAGGCAAAACAGGACACGTCAAATCTGAAGTCTTCCCGCCCTGCGTTGTGTAAGGGTATCAGTGTGATGCACTACGTGTATCTGTCTGTTTTCGTGGAGCAGATCTGAGTGTGCCTGTTCTGTACTGGTGTATGGAGCAACAATGGTATAGCTTTCACTTGATTCAAATGAATGATTTAGAACAACTTCATAAAAGGAAAAAGAAACCATTGATTAGTCTGCTCCTACAAAAAAAATCCCTGCAGTCAGACTGAATAGAAAAATTCCGTGACCCAAACTAGAAAAAAATATGGCAAAATTAGTTATTGTGTGTAGCACTGTGAAATATTGAATACAGAGGTGCAGTTAAACAGCAATTGCCAATACACACGTGTTTATGCTTTCTGTTAAGACCCATACGTGATATCAAAGGCACACAAGTAGAAAAATACCTTCCTTAGTCTGGTCTGTCAAAAATTGTAGTAATATTCTGGGGGGAAAAGAAACGAAGTACATGTTTACTTGTTTACTTTGCCTATTAATCTAACTGTCACTTCTCTTCTGGTAGAAACCAGAAGAATGTGAGTGTCTGTTTAAATGTTTAAAATGCTTGATAAAACATTTCTTTACAAGTCTCTTTCTCTGTTAAATTAGAATCAACTCAGGTTCGCAGCCCAAAGCCTGAGTCCATCCAGTTCAGTGTGGGCCAGGTGATAGTTCACAAAAGACTTGGTTACTCAGGAGTCATTGTTGGATGGGATGTAAAAGCTAAAGCTCCAGAAGAATGGCTACAACACAAATATCCTCCAGCAAAACAGGTTTGACTGTATTAAACTCTTATTTTATCAATACATACACACAATAATGCTGTTAAAAAACCTCTAACACTGCTATGGACTTCCTGCTAGCCTAATAGGGAATACTTAATACCCCGATCACCTGTGCAGCTGAGAGAAAGCTCTGCTTCTTCTGTGCTATTGTCACAGGAGAGCTTTACTTTTGCAGCTCGGCTTGGTTAAACTTCACTGGTCAGGGTTGTTCTGGATGTATCTCAAATTAAAATTACTTTTAATACACAGTGTTGCATTTAAAGCAGCAGTGTCAACCTATAACAGAACAAATTTCTCATGGTGTATTACTAAAATTGAAAAGCTTTTAAATATCTGATCTGATCTTCCAGCGTAGGCACAATTGGTAACATCTTCACTGCACCCAAGAAATGCAAGTAAGCCTCTGTGTTTAATCAATTTCTGAGAGAGAAAGCTGTGTTTTGGGGCATCTGGACAGTTGGAATATAAATCTACTTAACAATGTGTTTTTGCTAGGATTCTTAGAGCTTTTGAAATTCTCTAGCCAAAGTCCTTGTTGCATTTGGAAATCAGATGCTAAATCTTTGTTGACAATGCTGGTCTGGTAATACAGTGCTACATACCCTGTGGGTTGGCCGCTGACATACTGCTTAAGTGGCCGGAAGGCACTAATCAGTAAGCCAAAGAGGACTGAAAATGAGAAAAAATGAGAAGCTCTGCCTGTAGATGAGAATCTGTGTTCAGCTGGGAGCAGACGTTCAGTACTGTTGGGTGCATTTTGCCCCTTCCCGACTGCAATTTCATCCATCTGCTACTCATCTTTGGCTTCGAAAACACCTGCGGCCTTGCTTTTTCCCCTCTTTTTTTCTCCTCTCAGTGGCATTGTCACCAACTGCACACCTATGCATTCCCCATCAGGCGTTCTGAATCCTTTTATATATCTTTTCTTTTAATGTTTTCCCAATGATAGCTTGTGTTCATCTTTATGGTTTTAAGTTCACTACTGATGCTGTAGTTGAACTGTATTTTTTTAATTAAGCTTGCCTTTGCTTCTCTCTGTTTTGTGCATCAGCTATGCAAAATGTCCTCTGACCTTTAAGAGGCAACTGCTAAGCTTGGTCATTACAACCCCCCCGGCGTTATTAGCCAGGCTTTCAGCCCAGCCTTTCTCTGCCTTGCAGTTCATCAGCACATTGCTGAGCAGAGGCCACTGCCTGTCACGTTGATCAATACTAACGGCTGCACAAACTCCATTTATCTGCCCGTATTCATCCATCACTTTTTCGTGTTTAGACTGTGGGTTACTTTTGATGGGAATATTTATGGGCAGCAGTCAGCACAGTGGGACCCTGGCCTGTGACTGGGGTTTATAGGCACTACAAAAATAATCATAAGCTACGCTTCTTTCTTGGCTGGAAGACTTTTAGATATATGTGGAAGTTGCCTTAGCTTTATCCGGGATTGGGATCGAGGCTGTAAGAGGTGGTGTTATGCTCTGAATTTGCTCCTTTCTCTCTGGCGTCACCACTTGCGAAGGTAGAAGGGGGACTAACAAGCTGTTGTGGGACCTATATACAAAAAGCAGGGATATTCTAAGTCATATTTCTTGCAAGATACACAAACAAAAAGATCACTTAATAAATATCTTGGCTCTTAAAATGAAAAAAGATTTGAGAAGAAGAACTTCATATATTACAGTGTTGATGGTTTTATACTTATTTTTCCAAACTGACGTTGGCATGATCATAAAAATAAACCTGCTGTACATATACATTGAGAGGTTTTAGGCCCTGTAAGTCTAGTGAGAGTTAACTGATTATATAATGTAATCTTTAGTCATCAGCTCCTCTCGAGGCTATTTATTTTCCTTCTATTTTTACAGGATGTAAGAGATACTCCTCACTATCGAATTCTAATTAACAAAGCAAATGGATTTGGCAAATCTACCACTTACATTCCTGAGGAAGAGATAACGATTATTATGGGATTAGAGGTAGTATTTATTTTTATTCCGTTGCAACTTGCTTGTTATCCTCTGTGTTTAAAAGTTGGCTGACCTTTGGCTTAATGGATACTATTTATTTTACAAAGGTAGTGAAACTAATAGAGGAAGCAGACGCACAAACTATAGCTGTACTTTCAAATATATGTTTTTAGAAGGTGATAAATGACTCAAACCATGTGCTGTCTACTTAAAAGTATCCAACTGCCTAATTTTTTCTTTGTCTTTAAGTTCCTTTAGCATTTTTGGCTTCTGTTACATACAGGCTGTTGCAGACATGGACTTTTGTTTTAGGATTTCACTGACCAATCAAAGTTGGGCAACTCCTTTCATCCCTTTCTACTGGATCTAGCAAAACACACTGCTTTCACAATTCCACTCTGAAAAATCTGCGTTTCAAAAAGCTTTTGCTCAGTTGCTGCCCAGACTGAATAATGTCTCCCTTCTTTAACTGCAAAAACTGCCTAAAATTCTGGTTTGTGTATCACGGTCTTGGTTGCCTTTGATTTCTAGCTTACACAAGGTGCACCTGATTCTTCAACTAGACAGAGGCTCTGATCCAGAAGACAGCCTTCCTTAAAAAGTTTCTGCTCTAGCCAGTGACTGTAACATAAAATGTGCTGAACAAAGGAGTAGGAAATATGCTAACCCAGATATGTGACATAAGGATTTAAAATTGGGTTCTGAGCCCTCAGACTCATGTATAAAAAATGCACCTTTTATTGTGTCAGTCAGTTGCCTACCTTTGGTGACCTTTACAGTCCACGGGGAGACACAAATACCTCACCACAAACATTTACCTTGTGAAAGCCAGCCTTTAAGTTATCAGATCGCTTTATTGACCCACAGGGGAAGCTTACTCTTCCCACAGACGGTTAGGGCGACTGATGGTAACAAGCTTACAAATTTAGAGAGTTGAAAACTGTCTAGGTGAGATTAATTACAGATGATGAGTCATGCCTACACCTCACTTTCAAAAAGGTCTGCGGATTGCCTTCCCACAGCCTTTCCTCCAGCCTAATAGACACTTATTTCCTAAAGAGTTGAGGCTGACAACATGTTTCAACTTGCCCTAACCATTTCCTAGTTCCCAGTTCTAACCTACTAACTGTAGGCTTTCTGGATCATAACAAAGCTCCTAACTCACGTTGCCCTTTGTGGAGTTGGATCTTCAAGTTAGACACTGTGGTATAGAAGCCCATCAGCTCGGTGTGTCTTCACAATTTCCTTGACTACTTTAGTGTTCCTGCTGCCTGCTTAGTTGGATTAGATACCTGATCCAGCTGAAAAAATAACAAGAAGCTGTACCAGCAACAAAGGAGTGGAAACTACTTCAATAACAAATAGCGCTGAGGTTAAAACATCAACCCTGGTATAGATCTAGCCAGTAACATCTCAGGAGATGTGTTCAATACATACAGGGCACTAACAGTCCGAGAAAGCCACTGTTCTTATGCCATAAGTTACAATAAAGTGTGGAAAATCCCACTGAAAGTGTATCTATGTACAAAATGCATTTAAACTAATTAGGAGTCTTCAGGAAGTTAACTCTAGTAACTTAAATTGTTAAAGTATCAGTTTGTATTCATTGCTAATTCGACTTGAAATGTGATTTTTCTCAGGTGCACCACCCTGATATGAAGGCCTATTTCAGCGGATATGATGGCTCAAAATACATTATGCAGCCGTGGTTGAAAAAAATCTATCCTCATGACTGAAGTGTTCAGCTATTTGTACATATGATGTGCATCTGGACAACATGGTTCCTTTTTAAACTTGAGCAGACACCAGGATAAAGCTAATGTATATTTTTTTCCTATGATGAAATAAAATGTTCCTAAGCAAGTTTTATGTTGAAGAATTCATTTCGTTAGAAGTGGACAAATGGCATGTTCAGTTTCCCATCATTAAGTGAGCTGGGGGGTGGGGAGCAGAATAAATGAAACAGTTAAATACTGTCAGTTAAATACTGTATCTGCAGAACTAATTATCTTAATTTTAGAGGCGAGAGCTAAGTAAAGGCCAACTGGAATTGAAATATTTCTAGTGAGAGCTACAGTAAAGTATTCCTGCTATAGTTTCACTACTCTCTTTATAAAAGCATGCATTGTGCTGCTTTCAAATGACCCATGCAAAGGAAGAGTTTTGAGTGACATAAAACTATTAAATGTCTTTTCTTGCACCTGGATAGGCAAATTAAGAAACTTTCTATTTTTGCTCAGTACTTAAACAATATTCTTAATATCCTGTCTTAACCATACTTGCTAGCGTAAGAATAAAAATCAATACAGGAAAACAAAAAAATGAAGAAAGTATAAAAATTTATTAAGAAAATTTATAAGGTTTTAGAGCAACTTCTTTCTTCTGTTTTCCTTTCCCTTTATCTCAAACACAGCAAACACTCTACAAGAAGCATAAGCAGTAGCATTCAGGATTCTTTCCTGCAGAGTCTGTGAATCTGGGGCGTTAGGTTGCTGACTGTCTGTGTGGCCTCCCCATTCTTTTGTTTCTTCTTCTCTTATTAATAAAGGTTTTCCCAGTGACTGGCCAAGCAGCCGACATACTTCTTGGGCTTTCTGCCGCGTGTTTCCAACAGCAGCGACGCACACTTGACGGCTGAGAGGCAGAGAATGCAGCACAACAACAAGCAGGGTCAACTTGCATAAATATTCATGCCAAACATTTTTTTTTCCCCTGTGTTTCAGTTCTTATAACTGCATGGGGTAAGACACATCACCTTCTGGGTGGTAGATTGAAAGTTTGAGGGGAAACTGAGGAGAAAACGTGAGCGTCCTCATCAGCTGTAATTAGGCATTTCAAACACCTGTCTGCTGCAGGCACTGGTGGCGTGTGGTGCAGAGCATGCGTCCAAGCCCTGCTCCAAACATCTGGGTGCCCAGCTGTAAGTCAAACCTGCACCCCCTTGAACTCACTGGCCTCATTTCCAGAGTCCTGTGTCGACACTTTGGGATACACTTCTGACATCTCCAGAAGCATTACCTGCAGTGAGCTGAGCTCCCTCCTTAGCCCAGGCATGTTTCTTTAAAGGGGCAAACCCCAAACCAAGATTAAACTTCCCACTGGGGTTCTCCCACCCTCTCCAACATCAGCAGGATATGTAAAAAATCAAATAGTTAGTAAACACCTAAAATTTTAAGACCATGAGCATCAAAGTGGCATATTTTGATGCTGAGCAAGCACCATCCATGGCTCACTTCAGAGCATGGCAGTAGCTAAAAGTAATGGGAATTGGCAAGGGTACTTAGAATTATCAACATCTGGTAACGCATTTGTACCTCCATGAATAAATTCAAATTAAATCTACACATGCTGATGTAACCAAAGTCAAATTATGTTGACCTAATATTCACAGCAGATTATACTTCCAATGGAAATCAGTGAGAAAATATTTATTACAGTCTGCTTCTGCACAGGGGCACTGCAGAAAGAACAAGATGCATCTTCCTAGGCTGAACAGCATTAATTTCTAAGTTATATTTAGAACAAATGCTGAGATCTGAACATAAATTTTAATAGGTATGAAGGAAACTATTTGCTCCCATTACAAACAGTATAAATTATGTATTCATATTAAATGGTATCTGAGGCTGTAAAATCTGTGGCATAAGAGAAAACTTACCGAAGGGCATCTATGGCTTCTGGAGTGTGGTAGAAATGAGGTGGACTGATGGTAACAGAAGTCCCTAATTTTTCAGTAAGTAAATTGCAAACATTCTGCATTTTTCCAAAATCACTGAATATAATAGAGACCTGGAATGAACACAGACATCAGACAAGTACATTTTTTTTTTAAACTCTTCTCCTATGATCCAACACCTGTAATTAAATCAATGTAAAGACAGATTTGTACAAACTAACTAAATATACTAGTCCTGTATATAATACATTCATTGAGTCAGACACTTTTGTATAGCCCTAGAAACTATCAGTTGTTTTCCAACAGAAAGAAGCTTATGAAATGGTTTAAAATTGAGGATTAAGAAAATTCTCTTTGTGAGGAAGTCTGGCATTCCTGGTATGTAGACAATTTGAAGAATGAACGCGTACTGTGTGTGACACATCCTCAGATGCATCTCAGCTCTTCCCTTTTAAATTTAAACTTAGATTACCAGATGTTAATTATGCAGAAGCCCAAGCAAAATGATGTGGAAAACATCGGGCAGGAAGGAAAATTACATTTTAATTCCACACATTAGGTTCAAAAAACGTAAACTGCGAGACCGAAATAAGCCTAGCCCAGTCCCATCCCACTTGTTCAAAGCCCTGTGCTGGGTGAACAGATTTGCCCCAGTGCCTGCAGAGAACTGGTCACCTCAGTCTAGGCTGAAAAAACAATTTAAACGTGTAGCCTTCTGTACCTTTGGCATGAAGAAGCATTACACACAGATGATACAGCAGGAATTTGGGTGTTTTCCCAACAAAGCAGGCATCGCTATCAGCCCAGGATCCAGAGCCCTACAGCCTTCCTGGCAGGGAAGCACCAGCCAGGTGGCAGCTTTCCAGGCAGGAGCAAGCCCTCCCCTGTGGCACAGCACCCTTTTCAGCAGTCGAGCAGTCATGCCCAGCTGCTGGAGTGTTCAGGAAGCAGAAATCCCAGTTCCCAAACTCTTTTTTTAAGAGTCTTCATCTTCACCTTGCCATACATCACCAAGCCGGGGTCACCATCTCCTGTCCCGGACTCTTTCACTTCTTTTTGCACAGAAACAAATCCTGCACGCTGTCACTGTGAGGACCATCATAGCGTCTGCCAGATGGCTGCCAGTGTTTATAAGATCAGTTCCCTCAAGGGGATGAAACAGAGGACTGGTCAAACAAAATAATGGTGGGGCTTAAGCAAGAGGGAAACTGCTCAGACTGGGCATTCAGGAACTTTATGGGTAAAAAACCAGCATGGGATCAGGCGTCCTCGGTGCAGAAAACAACTGAGTACCACTTGTGAATTTTGTTTCCCCACCCCCAAACACAGTTTGCACATTGATTACTTAGAGCTAGATCCAATCAAATATTTTTTTTTTTTTTGTACAGAGGATACCTGAGCATTAATATGCAAAGCAGCATTTCAATTTCTTCAATAAAATTATGATTAAGGTTAAAAACTGTGAAAACATAATATGAGGAATGCAAAACTGTTATGGCCACATTGTAAGGTTTGGATAAGGCTGTAAAGGACAAGAAGTTGTGTTTTACAAAAAGGCAAGTGTGTTAAGATATGCACAAGAACAAACTAATCATCCCATGAGATCATCATGCAACAAATGAACTGTTACGGTTAAGATACTACAGAGCTTTGTGATCCCCTACAAAACTTCATTCTTCTGCATATTTTCCTTTGTTAAAGCATGAATTAGAATTTATCTCCTTACAGTTGAAAGTACGCCTTGAATTCTTAATTACACCTTTAAATAGCTATTTGTCTGGGAATTTCTTCAGTCTTCTAAAAGCTGTTGGAGTAGACAAATGGTAAAAAGAGTGTATAGAATGAAATAATGCATGACCTCTGTGATTTGATACGTAACACAAATGCAATGGCAAACTCCTTAGTACAGAAGCCAGTGTAAGTTGATTTAAAATTCATTTATATTGCTAAAGTAGTCCCATACATTGAACTTCACTGGTTTATGACGCTGCACTAACAAAACCAGTGCTCATGTAAACGGGGAGTCAAGGTGAAACTAACCTCTGCACGAAGCGCTACCAGACTGCTACTTAAGCAGCCCAAAGCCACAGTACTGCGGCCAGAATTTCAAGTTCAGGCCCCGTGCAACCACAGAACTGCTGAACGACAATTACAGCCGGTCCAAACTGCCCACTGGTGGAAAGTTGGCCCATGTCATTTGCTTTCCGCTTACTTACAATCTTTGTTGTATAAAAATTGATGGCAGAAGAAGGCTGACGATTGGATTAGGTACTGCATAAGGCTGAAGTTGTAAGCCTAAGCTTGTTTGTAGCCTACATAACAACTGCATATAGTTGTATTAATTAAGTACAGCTTATCTAAAAGACTTGATAATTGAAGCTCTCATGATAGTAGGTGTCTAAATTACGAAGTTAAAGCCATTCGGCAGATGACACTGATGATATCATTTAAGTATCTGAGGACTCATTTTAAAATCTAATTTTGTTCTCCAAATTCTCATTTATTTGTATATTTATCGCTGTTATTTAGATGACAATATACCTTAAAACAAACACGCAAATTAAAGAGGCTGAACTCGGATTTAGGGGACTGTAAACAGTAACTCTATAATATTGCTACAGTTTTACTGCAGACTTTTATAAGAATCTTCATAAGAATCACTGAAGTTGCTGGGTAGTGACTGCAGTGATTAAATCTGGAAAGATTCATTGATTGAAAACATACTATTTCCCTTAATGAATATTTTCAGTGCATTTACTTCTTGCTATAGTACAGATGTGCAAAAATAAACTCCCCTGAGCTGATGCTGAAGAAAATGGGATTATTCTAATAACATTTAACTTTCACACAGCACTTTTAACCTACAGAATTCAAAGTGAATTACCTAGGAAACAATTAGCTTTGCTTTACTTGCAGCAAGCTGATGGCAGAGTAATGTAGGATAGACCAAAGTCCAGGTGCTGTTCAACTGTGGCTTAAGCAGATATAGCTTAGGGCTGCCATGCCACGGTTGTTCCCCATCCACTCTTGTCCTCTGCCTTGCACTGTCTCCAGTTCACGGAGCTAAAATAATGGGAAAAATAATCATTTTTTTTCCAGATTAGTTTTAATTGGAGCAGCTTTCCAAACTTGTCTATTACCTCATCACCTACATACAAATTCTTTCAAAAAAGCAGAGGGCAGGGACATC